TGATTCATTTTGACCACAGTACCAGAACCCATGTTGGTACAACACCACGCTGTAGTTTTGTTGCTTAGTAGAAAGTCACTTACTTATTTAAATGATGAGAAGTCAATCACTTAGTCGCTGCAGATGTTAACTTATGATAGGAAAATACTTGTTGCTAGATAATACTAGAAATAGGAACTACAATATGACTAGCATTCTAGCTGACAATACAGCATAAGTCCTGGTGAACTTTCCCTGACATGCCTTTGGTTCCTACACGCTGTTGCATTTGTCTGACAGTGTCATGCCTCTGGACGCAGGTGAATGCAGTTGCCTCTTGAAGATCGAGGAGGCCGTCCATCGACAACCTACCCAAGGTCCGGATTCACCAAGGAGTACAACAGGAGAAGCTGTCGGCTGCCTGCAGGTCTGGAAACCACACAATATCTCTGAAACCCATTATCCCCTAATGCATGAATCTCTATGCTCAGTTGGGCTACAGCTAATTTATCATTGTTTCATCTTATTCTATAATGTAGACATCCTGTTTTTTCAACAAGAGAAATAATATTAAGAAATTTTGCTCATTTTGTTGTAGCAATAGCGGCTGTATGAACAACAGTACTGTGTTTTGGCTGTTTGTTCTTGTGCCTTCTGGCCATGTGCGCTTTACTGCTTTGTTCCAAAAAAGCCTAGAATGTTTGTTCTGCTGGTACTACTCTTTGGCTAGGACATTTTTCTTCGAATAACATAAATGAACCTAAAATTGCTTAATATGTTATATCACATTTTGTATTGATGTCTTTGTGCACACCATCTGGATGCTTTGAAAGATTTTATCCTGCTTTCTTTTGATTTGAGTTGTCTTTATGTCAAACGCTATTTGTTTTAATAGATTTAATATTTGAAGTGTCATAATTAATTTTATTTTGGTGGCATGGCTTGCATCACCAAAGAGCTAGCTTTGGACAGGGGTGCGTGGAAGCTTGCTATCCATGTGCCAGAGCCATGAGTTGGTTGCGAGATCTTATGGGTTTCACCTCTAGCCTACCCCAACTTGTTTGGGACTAAAGGCTTTGTTGTTGTTGTTGTTGTTGTTGTTGTTAGCATGGCTTGCATGGTATAAATACATACTATAAGAACTCATTTAGAGTTTGAATGTCAGCAAGTTCTACTCCCTTTTTTTCGTTCGTTGTGCATAGTTTCTAATACATTTATGGCTGATTTGAAGTTTGCACATGTGATGTATCCATGCTCTCTATATAAGCTATGCATTTGTAGTTGAATTCTCTATAGAGCTGAAAGTTACACTTGAAATTATCTTTTTTTATGATATATGGTCGTGTAACTGTGGATGGAAATTGAGTTAAGGTAAAATGGAAAAGGGATAAGAAATGCAGTTTCTATGAGCGAAATCATCCTGAAACATATGGTCGCTTATTATTTATGCTTCTATGGTAGTAAATCAGTTAGTAATGTTACACATAATTATTCTTTCCAGCTGTGTCCCTCACTCTATTGAGCATGTTTTTGTTGCACCCGTTAGTTGTTAAAGTGCATGTATTTCAGCCCATCATCAGGTTTCCACTATTGTACATTTCTCTTGCTACTTTGTTGTCTAAATTATATTTTAGGAAACTATTTGAACTCTTCAGCAGGCCATTTGCTCTATGTTGTTTCTCTTTAGGAGTTTCTTCACGATGCCACTTCCCACCTCGAAAGGCGTCAATGTCGGCGATCCAGTTTTTGTTCTGCATGCATCACTTCTTTCAAAAGAAACCCCGACCTGAGCAAGGACGTGGTAGATGATAATATATCTGTCTTATGTGTGTATGTCAGAACAAGTGATCTATTAGTTGAGCATTATGTAAATTATACTTGGCAATAAAGCTTTGACAAATGTATTTCCTGTCTTATTGTACAGTCTATTACTATCCAAATTATTCTTTGTAAACCAACTCAAAAGCTGTGAATCGATGATTGCATTTGCAAGACAATTTTGAAATATTTTATTGGGTCTATGTTTATGTGTACTGAAAGTTTAAGGAATCCCAAAGGTAGAACCAAACTTTAATCCTATATCGACAATTATGCCTCTTTGCTTCTGGATTAAGATAACAAATTATGCATGCTTAAGTATAAATTTTAAAGAAAAACTCTCCTCAGTTTTCATATGAAATGGTTTGAATTGTTATCCTAAGTGGTTGCTACCTAATTTTAGCTAAGATAAACAAACCATTTTGAAACACTTCTGGTTTGAATTGAGGCATTGTGCCTTTTGGCACAATGGGTCATCTAAGATGTGTTAAAGAGGTCAAATATTACATATTTTAAAAGAACCATTCTCCTTATTTTAAGCATTACAACGGACAAAGTATTGCCTTATTAAGCATTACAAAGGACAAATTATTGCATCACTTGAAAGTACTTTTTTGCAAATAACTCTGGGTCTGACCTGGGACCTTGCGCCATTTGGCACAACGGGTAGCCCTGCCTCGCCGACACTCTTTCAGCCTTGCTGCCACCTCTCCTCTCCCCGTCTGTAATATTATTTTGGCCCTTTTCTAAGATGGATTGCACCATCCATTGCCTCTGGCATGTGCCATGTTTTTCAAAATTATGCTCCTCTATTTCCTGGTGGTTTTTACTACTGTCCATGGATATAACTTTTGCCAACCATGAAGAGTTGCTTGGACAATGAAGTAATTTTCAGTACCAATGGCACATGCAACAATGATTCTACCTAATGTTCATCAGTACTGTAAATGAGCTGTCGTAAACTCATTCGCCTTTTGAGCCATCATCACAATGGAGCTACTCATTTCATGCTTTTCTTAGAACTGTAATGTAACAACTTCGTACCTTTTGTGCCTAAATATTCTAACGTGCATGGTTTAAAAACTTGGATTGCCCTCGGCCTTTGCGCCATCATAAGCTTCTAAAAACATTATGTATTATCACTAAGTATCCATCTACCAGCAGGATCTGTGTCTGAATTTTCCTATCACTACTCTTAAAATACTTGGCTTGTTATCGTCCTTTGCGCCATTGGCGCAACGGGTCATCTAGTAGTAAAAAAACTTCCTGGAATTCTTGGTGTGCCACGGCACACCCGGTACACCCACTAGGTCCGCCAATGGGGACAAGGCGGACGCGGAAACAGCCCGACACACGGATGCGGAGCAGAGCAGTATGTGGCGGTGCAGCAACCTGACAGGCAGCGAGCCATCGCGGGGCAGACCAGTATGTGGTGGATGGGAGGAGGGTGGCAACCGGCGGGGAAGCCAACCGTTGCGGGGGCACGCAGGAGACCAATCAGCAAGGGGGGCTGCGTGCGTGCACAGGTCCTAGATCGAGCCGTCAGTCTTTTTTGTGGCCAAGGGTCGGGCGCTACTATTTCCCGTGAAAATGGACAAAACTGACCCTTTTCTAAAACTTCAACACAAAATGGCCTCAATCTAAAAAGATTTCACAAATTGTCCCCTTTTCACATGACACCTGGGCTAGAGCGCCATGCTAGATAGCATGACGCCCCGGGCTAGGGCACCATGTGGCGCCCTAGCCTGGGGAGTCATGCTATGCAAAAGGGCCAGTTTGTGAAATATTTTCAGAATAGGGTCATTTTATGTTGAAGTTTCAAAAAAAGGCGAGTTTAGTCCATTTTCACCTATTTCTCGCCTGTTGCAAGCTTGAAGGTTGCAAACCGTCTCACCGTGATTATTTCTTGAACAATGGACCTCAAGGCTCAACGCAGCTCTCCCTATTTAATTTTTCAGCTACTTGCTCTACCGATGTGCTAATTAAAAAAAAAAAAGCTACTTGCTCTACCATTAGAGCATTATCAACAATGGGTGCAACCTTGTAGAAGCATGGACATAAGTAACTTCCATAGATAGACCAGGGATCATAAATGTCATCAGCATCGAAAGGAATGCATTGGGTTAAAATCATCCTCACTGGTCCCTCCCAACTCTGAGAACCTACACCACCAGAATTTGGACTGCGACGAAGAGCACACCATGGCGAATTGGCGACTCGAGAGAGATGCGGGGTCCTCTTGCTTGGGTTGATACTAGCCATGGCCAACAATTTTGTCCTATGGAAAATAAATTCTCAACACAAGTTTCCATGAATGGACGACAAAATTTACCAGCATCATGCTACTACTATGTAGTACTCCCTCCGTTCCAAAATAGATGACTCAACTTTGTACTAACTTTAGTACAAAGTTAGTACAAAGTTGAGTCATCTATTTTGGAACGGAGGGAGTACCTTGGAATGACCATGATGACTAATGAGTAATGCATGCATTCCAGATAAGCGCCGGTTTGGATGTTTTATATGCATTCTCTGTTCAAACAAGCTATAGATTAACAGTATTTGCTAACGTGTAGCACTATACCTGTGCAAGGGCCTGGATTTTTTTAAAAAAAATTGGCGTCTCAACCAAGTTTCAATCCACACTTTCTTCCTAAGATACACTGGACATATCTCCGCAGCAAACATCCGTGTTAGCAAAAACAAAAAAGGCTTCTCGACATCTGAAATCGATTCTAAAACCGTGAAGGGAGAAGTAAACAACACTCCACCAAATTAACACGATACCTCTTGTCAACTCGTGCACATCTACAAGATGTCTGCACCATGATAAGAGCGAGACAAATACTCGGTCATGCTTGAACAGGTTCTAGCTTGTAACCAGAATACTGAATGGTGAAACATCCAACTGCCGGATGCAGGTAGAGAGACGAAAATTTTGTGCCTGGGTGGGCTCAACAACAAATTTCACTTCTCAACAGCACATTGAACTAAGCAGGCTTGCAATGCCTTTCTCGTTACAGGATTTAATGGGATATAAAAACATGGAAGGGCACGTGTTCTCTCGCACCTTGAGTTGCAAGACGTAAAAAGTTGGACTGGGCAAACCAAAACAATCCAGCTGCTATTGCCAGTGGAGGTATCTCACAGAGGACAAACGTTCTTCATGCTTGCTCGCCACACACAATCTTGACCCCATTGAGCTATGCACCTGTAGCAGGATGAGTCTGCAGAAGCAAGCAGTACATTTGGTCAGAAAATTTGAGAGGGAAAAAACTCCAGTCTCTTCCAAACTTTTAGTGTTTTCTTCAAGCCTAAAGGATTAACACATCGAAACAGAACAAGGAAGGATGTGTTTCTGAATAAATTTTGCATGACAACACAATGGTATAGTGATAGTTCTTACTTTGTTTTCCACTGTGCTTGTATGCCAGCCTACTAGCAGAGTTTTAATAGCGGGCTATGGCAAATAACGACCGAAGCGTTACCACGCTAAATCAGTGCTATAGCGCGCTAAATGGTGCTAAGCGGCTTAGCATGATGCCCATCCAAACGCTATAGCGCCGAGATAGCGCACTATTTAAAACTATGGCTATTAGATAAGCAATTATGCCATCCCAACAGTACAAAATGATTTGCCATACATTTTTTGTGGACATCCCAACATGCAGGCATGGCTCTTCCTGCTAGTTCCTGGTTACTTGCGCGGTAGTTTTCCAGACCCTATATGAAGTGTAATCCAGCATCGGTAACAAAACATCTACAGATTTGCCCGAGTCACTAGTTGTGAGTGTTGCTTCATGCAAATCTATGTGGTTGTCCTATACTTGACGTCTGTTCTCATACCTATTCCAATTGATTATTTGCTCTTATAGTGATTAGTCAAATTCTTGTGCTTATATTGTCCATTTGATCATAGTTCTGGCACTAGCAATGGAAAATAAATTGTTATCTTGTAGCAATTGAAGGATGGATAATACTCAATTTTCCATTGCTAGTGTTTGGCTAGCATTCAGAAGCCTAATGAAATGTGAAACAAAGATCAACTTACAACATACTTGTAGCGCAAGAATATCGAAAGGATGATAAACAAATGGAAATGATGTTTGCGCAGGATTAGATCTCAGGATAACAGCTCTAGGGGGCACATACCAACATACATGCGTAATAGCTTGATGCACAGGGAAATTTTATTTTGAACACCCACCAACAAAGGTAAACTAACCAACAAAGTCCTTGTAGTGCAAAAAGCATCATCATAGTATGACAAAGATAGCAATTAGAGTGGAAGGTTCATAACCAGAGTAAAGACTGGAGCATATCATATTTAAGCAATCATGTAGTTTCCTCATACAAAGGTGACGATGGATCAAGAAGCTGCTCTCACACAGATAGTAATAACAGAAATGGATCATTTTTTCTATTAAATCACCAATGACGCAACTAAACCCCTGCTATGGGAATCAGGGTCTATTCGTACTCACATGAACTGAGGCTAAGACAGCATGAACTAACCTCTGGTGCCTTGGCCGACATAACTTCTCTATATAATTCCAGTGCCTCATCCATGACCTTTGCCCTAGATAAAAGCCGTGCTCTTTTCTTCCCCGAAGGATGATATATGTCATTCCCTACTAGCTTCTCAGCAACCACAGGGGCTATGTGTGGATCGAAACCAGCAGCAGCCATTATCAGCATTCCCATGCGATCTGCCTCTATCTCCATCCTACATAGGAAACATCATCAGGAGCACTTCTATCATGAAATATTCACATAGAAGAGATAAGTAAAACAGGGTAGAGAACTGTAGACCAAGTAAATTAATTCAGAGATGACTCCCATAAAGGGGATACGTTGAACTTCAGCATAGCATAACATAGAGTTTGGCTACACAGCAAGTTCCCATCAAGACAAGACCAGCGGCTTATGCTCTGATGTAGATGGCCAAAAAGCTGCAACTTACTCAATCGGTCGGTAGTTGCCTTAGAAATACATTTCTATTGGAATTAATGCAGAATTAGATTTGGAAATGTTTTTGGCTAGTTAGACGTGGGCATTTGTGTTGATAGGAAGACTAAATAAAATGGACTTGGATGAACGATTTTGGAGTTTTCAAAGTTAACATAGACTTCTTTAATGAATTATCACTGCATATGAACTATATGTCAATTAAATTTTCTTTAGGGGTGCCATGGCACCCAGGATAACCCGCACTACATCTGGCTATGGAAATCACCATTGACAATCTGAAATACACTGAATATACCTTCTTATGAAGTGCACTTTGAGGGGAAAGGGAAACCACTTTTTGTAGACGATTGACTCTGACGAGTGTCTGGCAACCATGTGCGCGATCTACAGAAAGAGACAACAGCACCAACTTAACACACACAAAAAGACCAGAAAGCACACATGAACCCATTACTTGAGCAGACCTACCTCATGCGCAAGAATAGTAGCAATTTCAGCATCCGTCTGCAGATGGTTGAGCAATCCAGTGAATACTATAATCTTGCCATGGGGCCACGACATTGCACCAACATGCCTATCATTTTTAACAACAATCACCTCCCAGGCTAACCCATCAAGGTGCGCTGTTTGTGATTGTGATTTGCATAACTTGCCTTGTTTCTTGCTCTCAATTGCATGCCTGGCATCCAAGCTCACATGTTTGCAAGAGGATTCATGAACCAAGGCCACATCACGGTTCTTGATGTCAAGGCCACGCTGAACAGCACGGAGAAGTTGCGCTGTGATAAGATTGACACGGACACTGTCGGGGTGGAGTGGGCTAAGGAACTTGGATGAGTGATTCTTCCTGACAAAAGCAAAACAAGACTCCGCATACTCGCGGTCGTCTTGGGGGGAGCGAATGACAAAATGAATCCGGTTGGTATAGGGCACAGTCTCAAGCTGAAAGATGGGGGTGCGGCTGGTGTACGGAATCTGAACGAGATAGGTGTGGTAGACAAACGACCACATGATGTTGATGAAAGCTGCCGCTGCCGTGACCTTGCACAAAAACCAAAAGTAGCTAACAGATCTCGATGGGGCCTGAGTGCTGAAGTAGCGCCGAGGGAGACGGATGCCAGGGGGTTGAACATTGATCTTGATGCTGTTGCGGGGCCGTCCCTGAGTTGAGGCCGAGAACTCCCCACGCCATGGGGTGGTGTGGTGGCGTCGATGGAGCAACGCCGCTTGTGCTAATGCAGGCGGTCGACCACTCTGCTTGATGATGTTGTGGAACATACGCCCTTGGATCGAGCCTAGCACCTCCGCACTGTAGTGGCAAGCTAGAGACAAGTAGGATGAAATATACCAGACTTTTTTTCTAAAACTATAAAAACAAAAACAATGTTCTTATATGCAGCTAACAAGATGAAGATCTTCATTAGAACCTAGGGCAAGCAGCAAGTAGCATATACATTGATGTTTAGTCACTATAACAGATAAAACAGTAAGCAAACAACCATCTTGCCGTAAAAAATCAATGTGACAAGATAAGCAAACAACCATCTTGCTGTACAGGTTTGAACACCAGAAAGAGGAAGGGAGAGGCTTTATGTCCTTCTATGCAGTACATCAAATAGTTATTATGCCAATTATATAAACAGAAGTAATATATGGGATTAGCAGCCCAGAAGATGCGTCCTTTCAACAATCAAGTAGCACTAGCTTGCCCTTGAGCGCAATAGTCATCAGAGAGGAGAAATCAAAGGTCCCGCCCTTCATACAGCAACTAAATTTTTAAGAGAAGGCAGCTTAGCACACGGAGCACAGCATTGCTGCACTGTCCCCTTCAGAGAAAGATTACGCTAGGTTACTACGAAAAAATGGTTAGTGGTTACTTGGTTAGCATGTTTAACAATACAAAATAATTTCATTGCAATAAGGTAGAGGGAAGAGAAATGCTCAATACCAAGTCTCACAAAGTGATTATGGCTGCTGAACCACTAGATGTCAATAAGTGATAACAATACAGCACTTGAACAATTTCTTCACAAATTTACAGGTCCTTATTACTGTATTTCCAATAAAAGCTCAAACAGTTTATCCAAGTATAAGAGACTGAGAGTATGCTCACTAGTTGACTAGATCTTGTTGAGTGACTAGTAAACCTTTAGTCAAAAGAACTATGGACTGCAACAAAGACATAGCTTGGCATGAGAAGATACTAAAAACCACACTGTTAATACCGTATAGTACCTTTATATCCTTCCGCAGAAGGAGCTGCGGGTGCAACGGGCTGCCACGGTGCGGTGCAGTGGCGCCAACGGGCTGCCCGCGTGCGAAGCGCAGTGCGTGCGCTGTGTTGAGACGAGATCTCCCCATTAGTGGTGCCCAGGAACGCCGCCGAGCGCTGCAGCAGGTGGCGGAGTATCGGCATGTCCTCACAAGCAGGACGGCGGCGCAGCGACGAAGCTCCGCGGCTGGAGGTAACGGGCTCGACGCCGCCGCGCGAAATGCCGGATGCGGCGAGGGGCAAGGGGGAGGCCGGAACGCGGCGGTCGAGCGGGTGCGGATGGGAGGGCGGCGGCGGCGCTGAGGGGCAAGGGGAGCGGCAGTCTGTGGCGGATGGGGGGCCGGGCGGGAGGGCGGCCGCGTCCTAAGCCCTGGCGGCGGCGGCGGTGCGGCAGCCGGCGGGGGAGCCAGCCGTCGCGGGGCGCAGCAGAGCAATCGGCGAGAGGGGCCGAGCCGCCAGTCCGGGGATCGAGGGCACTTCGCGGCCCAGGGCCTGGCTCTCTAGGCCAGGATAGCGGCCACAACCGGCGTTCGTTAAGGCCCATAGGAGGGGCGTTCGTTCAGGCAAACGGTTTGCCTTCCCTTTTCACTTTGTTGTTTCGTTTCTTTTTGCTCTACTCTTCTTTGAAATAAAATGCAATAATACGTAGTATATATTAGATACTCCCCTAAAATCCCACAAAAAAATATACTCCTATAAAAAAAATATTAGAGACACATGAGTACATTTTCAATAAATTACGGAAACACCAAAAATCTGAAGTTAGATTTTTAGGCATGGAAAATCCGAGGTTTTTATGGCAATTTGTATTGGCGCTATGATGGTAAATTTAGTTTGCAAGCACAAAAAAATTCTGACAAAGAAAATGAATTGGGGTGGATTTGTCATGCTCGTCAACTAAACTTTCCATCCTCGGAAAACATAATTTGCCATGAAAAATGTTCAGACTTGCCATGGTCGAAAATGTGTCAGATTTGTAGCGGAGTCCATAAATTAATTTAATTTGAAAATGCACCGAAGCATTTTCTTAAAGAATCATGTATTGTTTACAAGTGTTTTGCACATTCATAAAAAATGATTGTGTATTTGAAAATTGTTCACCATGTATTAAAAAGTGTACTGCAGCGGATATAAAAAATTCCATTACGGTATCCCGTCATTTACCTGTCCATATTAGTTTGATTACCTACCTAAAGGAATTCTAGGATTTTACTTACTAAGAACATATTGGCTTACCAAAGAAAATATAATTTTAGTTGGTAAGTCAATAAAAGGCTAAAGGCTGGACAGTTAAGTCAGTTTTAAAATAAAT